GAGGCATAATTTATATTTATTTCTTAATTTTTTATGGTAGTTACAAGATCAGTCAAATCTACGAAACCCGTACATAGATTTGTTAGTTAGACTAACAGATAAAATATAAATTTTTTTCTTAAGAAACATTTGAAAACTATCTTGACATTATAAAGATTTTGTATGTGGAATTTGAAAATTTACTGATGTATAAAAGTATTTTTAATCTTAAAATGAAAATTACTTTATGTGTTGGAAAGGGAATATGCGAAAAGAAAAAAAAAGCATGAGAAAAACATTACTTTACAAACCTTAAGACTTAATAAAAAATATATATATATATTTTGTGTATGAAAACATTGTAATGTTTACTGATAATCTGCCAAATTTCATTAACATATGCTTACTAATTTAAAAGTTATAGCATAAAAACTATAACAAGCACAAAATGGTTACAAGGTCGGTCCTAGTGACCGAGCGTGTGTTGAAAGAGTTAAAATTATTACAATGAAAGATTTATATCTCTGCAAATATTTGAGTTATACGGAAGTAATAATTCAATAGATAAAACCTTGACTCAACACTCAAGGTTGGCAGAAAAGGTACAAAGTTGCTGATATTATGTTAATTTATTTTTTATGAACGTGTCTTTCTAGTTGAATGAAAGATACATATTCCTCTAGATCAGTTTTCTTGAAATAGTATTAATATATTTATACAGTTAATTCAGACTGAGGAGCTTAGTGTCACAAGAACATAATTGTCATTGAATATTTTTGATTTATTAGCTTTATCATTATTATTTAAGAAATGATGTCCATTTCTTCGTTGTAATGCTTTCGTTACTGAACTTCATTAAAGGATGCCAAATTATAGTAAATTGTTGTTAATTCCTGTACTTGTAACAAAGGAAGTCAAATAGATACTTTGGTAACAGATATGACAAAAATTATAATTTTGAATGGATTATGAGCAGGAGAAATTATTGTATAATTGGCATAGGCAGGATTTTCAACTAATTTCTTTACTTAAAACCTGTGGAGAAACATGAAAGAATATAATAGAAAAATGTTATATTAGCTTATTCAGTAATATGGTAGCTTATGTCAAAGTGAGTTTTACATTAGCAAATTGAGACCTTTCTTATTGTTCTAACAAAATACTCTCAGTTCTAAGCTAGACAAGATTATATACATAAAAAAAGCAAGCTTTGGAGTTGCATACATTATCAGAAAAATAAAATTTACAGTATAATTGTACATTGTAATAACATTGAAATTCAGTGGCTCAGTGGTAAATCTGCAGCTTACAGTGCCAAAATTTAGGGTTTTGATACCCATAGTGTGCAAAGCACAAATTATCCATTGGGTAGCTTTTTGTGCCTAAGGAAACCAAACTATTGGGGAAAATTCCACTTTTTATAAAAACCTTTGTTTGAAAGTGGATACAAGTATATGACAAGAGGGAATCTTAAATAGCTGTGGCACTTGAAATTCATTTAGGCAGGATTAGAGTAAGCTAATCTGCGAGACCTTTTTTTTTTCCTTTTTATCAGCTATATTTTTGTGAGCCAGCAATACCAGATGTTGGATGCACATATACCTGAATCAATTTTATTACTCCTCAGGTTCTCTACCACCCTACCCTCAAATTGAAATTATTTTAGGACGGATTAGAGTAAATTAAGCTATGAGACCTTGGGTGTGGTCAGATACATTAATAAAAAGGGTTTGATCTCCTGGATCCAAAATGTTAATTAGATCTGAAATCATTTAAGCAATGGTGGAGCTATGAGGTAAAAGTTTGTACTTGAAAAAAAATACAAAAAACTCGGGGCCATTTTATGAGCCTCTATGCTACAGCTAAAAGGTTTTTTAAGAGGTAAAAGTTGGCAGAAATGAGTAACTGCTCAAATTTATGTATCTAGATGGAAGATGTGTATTTATTGGACATAGTAATGCATTTTTCAAGATTATAAGACTTAAGTAAGTAATTTATGAATATCCTTACTTGTTTAGAAAATTAATCTGATGTTGAATACAGCTTTACCATTCAGCATAAACACAGTAAGTCCAAAATGTGTGCAATCACTACTTTGAGTCAAATTATTGAGTCTGTTAAAACTTCTTGATGTTTTCTATTACAAGAGTAAAATTTCACTTATCTTTCTGTATTCATAAAATTTTGACAAAGATTCAAATTTCCCCCTATAAATCTTAACAGGATTGTTGACAACATGCCAGTGACTTGGTGCTACAACGTAGAGGGAGACCAGAAGTATTGTTCAACTGGTTTTCCTATGGGCTGCTATGTGAAAGCAGATGGAACTTCCAAAGATGCATGTGTCATTAATGTGAGTCATATTCATAATATTACTATTTGTATGATGGGAAAGAAAGAATATTTTGACTGGAGTACATTGCTACACTTGATAATGTTATGTATTCTGTAATAATGAAATATGTGTGTGTACGTGTTTGTACACATACAAATATGATATGATCTTAACTAAGCTCTAAAATATTGTAATATTCTTTAATGTATATTCCAGATTGAAGGGTAAGTTTACTCTGAGTACACACTTGGTATTCAACTTTCAAGTTTGTTTTTTTCTCATAAGTGAAAATAAAAAAAGGTTCAAATTTTCATTTCTGTTATTAAATTATATTTCTAGATGTTTATTTTTTAATTCTTTTGTACTTCCTTTAAGATTGTTTATTCCTCCCAATCAAAGGATATATTCTGTGTAAAAATTCGTTACTCATATGAAAATGTTGAGGTTAAGTACATTTACTAGTATTAATACAACCTCAAGACAAAACTTTGAAATGCTTCATAACTAGTGAAGATACCTAAGATTTTTTTTATTTTCTGATGATGTTATTTTCACTCCTGATAATGTTTTTATGTTGTATTATGATCACTTAAAAACTACAGGAATTTCTTCTACATATAAGACAAAATATCAGGTAAGGATATTTAAGTTTAGCAAGTACAATCTGTCTGTATTATTAGATATAAAGTGGACTTGACCAGTAATATTGTTGGCAAAATATCATGCTACAACATATGAAAAGGTAGCTATATTGAAAGATGAAGTTGTTGCTCATTGGTAAATCTTTATACTGTGTTTGTATGATTCACAGTATGAAGTCAACTGCTTCACTCAGTAAAATAAAGTATCAAAATAATTATATCAATGAATTTCAAGTTAAAAATGTGAGATATATAAAATAGTCTGATCATCAATAAAGTAAACTCGGGTAAAGTAAGGTATCAAAATAATTATATCAATGAATTTCAAGTTAAAACTGTGAGATATATAAAATAGTCTGATCATCAATAAAATAAACTCGGGTAAAGTAAGGTATCAAAATAATTATATCAATGAATTTCAAGTTAAAACTGTGAGATATATAAAATAGTCTGATCATCAATAAAGTAAACTCAGGTAAAGTAAGGTATCAAAATAATTATATCAATGAATTTCAAGTTAAAAATGTGAGATATATAAAATAGTCTGATCATCAATAAAGTAAACTCGGGTAAAGTAAGGTATCAAAATAATTATATCAGTGAATTTCAAGTTAAAACTGTGAGATATATAAAATAGTCTGATCATCAATAAAATAAACTTAGGTAAAATAAGGTATTTTTTTGTTTTTTAAAATGATGTTTAACAATAGAATCTCTGAGACTTAACAACTGAAAAAATGTTTTGAATACTAAATCATATTTCCATGAATTTCTTGTACAACTTGATTTAGTATTTTCACTGAGAATGTAAAAGAGCAATGAGTGCTTTAGAATGTATTACTACATGTAACAATTCTGTGTTCCTACAATTTCACTAAGCTATTTACATAGTTTGAATCAGTTAATTAGCAATATTTTGCTTAAGTTGTTCTATATTATGCAAGAAATGTAAATGCCTTTTTTATAAGTCTTTAATGTAAAGAAAATATCAGCAGTTTCAAATAAGAGTCATTAATCCTTTTTTTGGTACATCAGTAAAATTGGGAGAAAATATAACATGGTATATATGGTTTTGTTCTTTGTATAACCAGACTGCTTTCAATCAACCTGATACATATTACCTTTTCAATCATGTGGACATCATCATAACTTACCACAGCGGAAGTGGAGAAACCTGGGGTGTGGACTTCGGAGATAATGGAGGCCGCATCATATCTGTGAAAGTTATACCAAAAAGGTAAGTGGTTAAAGTACTTGCTGTGGTAGAACACAATAATTATTGCTGAATTATTTTCAGGTTACAGAGAGAATAAAATGACTGTTTTGCCTTTGAAGTTCATAAGATGAGTGTCGTTATCAAAATTTTAATTGCTTAGAGAAATCCATTTTTTTCACTATAGAGATCATAGAAAAATTTTCTATCCATTTGAATAATTATTTTATTCTAACTTCATCAAATGAAACTAGCCTATTGAGTTTTTTAAGAATCAATAATTCACCTTGAGCTTTAAATCACAAACTGAAAAACAAAAAAAACTACAATAATGTATGAAAATCAGATATTTTACCAGCCCACATTCTGTGAAACTTTCGTAGTCATTTTGCCAGGGGTGTTGAAGCATTGCTACAGTGACATGTAAATATGCTTTAACATAAACATATTTGTACCATGAGTAAAGGCAGGATGATACAAGGATGGAGACAATTTAATTACTAAAAGTCATCTTGGTTGATGGAATTGGAATTAAAGCCAAGTCTTAGATCACAGCAAGTATAATTTTATCAAGGTATGTGTCTGTTTAGTTTTATGAATATGAAAGAAACAGGTATTGAAAAAATAAATACACACACACCTTAAATAGCCAAAGTAGGCTTTGCAATTTCAATATAATTTGCAGGATTCTCATAATTTTTGTACTTGTATACCTTCAAGAAGAATTAAATTTTAAGGCTATCTGTTTTGCAAATAATTAATTCTGCAAATATTTTACATAGAAACTGTAATAAAAGAAAACTCATTTTAGATATGATAATATCAAAACTTTAAAATAAACTCAGTTGACTATTAACTGTATAAAGTATCTATGCCATAATTTAGATTTGTTTTATTTAAGAGATACATAGTTGTAGGTTTTCAGTTGAAAATATACAAGATTAATCTACCTTCAAAATAACTTATAATTAACAGTAAAATAACGTTCCTATTTGAAAACTACACATAAGAGTATTATATGTAAATGCTAAACTATTTACATTTTTTTCTAGTGTGATGTCACATCTCCAAGTTCTAAATTCCATGCAAGCAGTTTTAAAATAGACTTTGAGGTTTAGAACTAATAAGTGTCTTTTATGAATGTCTTTACAAAATATCTTTTATAATTTTCGTACTTAATATTTTCAGTGGTTAACATTTTTTTGCTAAATATTACTGATATGTTATAACAAGTTAACAAGGGGTATTTGTAGGGCAATTTGGTCACTAAATTAAGGATTAGCTGATAATTGAAGAACATATAGGATTTAACTTCGTGCCCAGAGGGAATGCAGTCTGCCTCAAGGGCATGATTGCACCATTGAACTAAAAAAGCTATTGAAAATAAATTTATTCTTATTTTTCCACACATCAAAAAAGGAAAGTACTTCAGATTTGAAATTTATTAAATAGAATTGTTTTATTTATTTAATTTTGTATATATTAAAGTAAAATTGCACATTTTGTGCTGATTTTGTTGTGTTTCCAATGAAACATTAGTGGTTGTGAATTTCATGAATTTTTCTAGAACATAATATGGCAGTTGTAGCTCCTTTTGGGGAAAGTCATTAGTTTTGAAAAAACTAGTGCTAATTTGTCATAGTATGATGTAATTATCTATATTTTGGCTTTAGTATTTAGAAGCTATTGATCTAAACATGTCATGAATTTTTTTTTCTGTTATTTTAAACCAGTAAAACTGAACAATGTGTTGGTAGAAGCTTAATTTGGTGATATATTGCTAGAATAAAATGTATTTGGGAACAAAACCTTTTTTAAAGCTTGTGTAAAGCTTGCTTTTGTCATTTTATACTTCATTTGGATTAGGGTATTGAAGTATGGTAGGAAAAGAAATATTATTTTGTGTATCAAGATGAGGTAGGCTTAATCAAATAATTTTGCACTCACCCATATTACATATCAAGTTTTATTTCACTGATTAGGCTGCTTTGTTTACATGAGTCTATATTTGCCTAAATATTTGTTTGAGTAAACAATGAAAATTGACAAAAAAAATGTAAAAATTTATATATAAATTAATATAAAAGATTTAAAATGGATTACACATATTCAATGACATCTTGTGATTAAAGACTTAATAATAGTCCGATTGCTTATAATTTTGGTTGGTAAAAAAGTTATTTTTATTGTATGTCAATAACTGTAAACACAGTGAAACTGCGTGCATTTGTTTGCATCAAAACAATGGTAAAAATTTATGCATTATAAAAAAACTTTACAGGAAAGTTTTAAATGAATGTAGGAAAATAAAAATCAGAAATTAAAATGTATAACAGAGCTGAACATTTTTGTTTTAAAAAATAAAACATATCACAAAAAATCTATTCAAATTCATAAAAATGTTGCATAATATTTCATTTGAAGAACCTACAAACTCTGTATAAAGTATGTCCCCAAGTGAGACAACTGCAAATCTACAGACTTGCAGTGCTAAAATACAGAGTTCAATTCCCTGCAGTGGACACAGCAGATAGCCCAGTGTGGCTTTGGTCTAAAACAAACAAACTTTATAAAGTAATTCTGAAGTTTCAAACTATTTTATCAAATATTTTTTTCACAATGCATTAAAATATAGCATACAACAGATGATTGAGTCAACACTACTTGTTTTTTTTTAGAGTTAAGATAAAATGTAAGAAAGATATACATTACTTTCTTGTTTGACATGTTTTTATTGTTTTTGTGTTTAATTGATAGTGAGGTGTAATTGTATAACACCCGAATTGCAATGATATTATTTATTAATATTTTTCTTTGTATATTATTTCTATAAAATTTTTAATATTAGCTAGGAATGTAGTGTTTTACTGATATTTTGGTTGAATATAATATCTATACTTTCTTTTCATAAAATTGTGTTTTATGTCTAATTTTGATTAGCTATCATCATTATTTCTTAATAGATATAGTTTTTATTAAAATATGAAATGAGATATGTGTATGTTGGTAGTTAAAATGTATAACTGTAATCTGATGTTATGATTTCCTTTTGTTTGTTCTTTAGTATAAATCATAAAGGTACAGAAGAAAAAGCATGTAGTCCTCCTACTGAACCCATGGGGATTCCTGGCAAATTGAAAAGTGATGACGTTATAGTTGTAAACTACACTTACTCTGTCACTTATAATGTAAATATTGCTTGAGTTATTTTTCTTTGCAAATTTTAGACTTTCTTACGTTAGGATTCAACATATCCTTAAATTTTGCTTGTTTAAGGTTAACCCTCTAAATATGGGCTTGGCTCTTCTGTGCATGTCACAACATAAGAGTTGCATTCAAAACTTAATTAAATAACTTTATTATCAACAGATGTCAATAGAATTAGCATTAGAGTGTAATTTATAATTCAAATTTTTGTATTATCTATGAGTTTAATATCAAAATAAAATATTTTAAAAACTTTTAAAACTTCATTTATGTGTGTTGCATGACATGTCTGTGTTTTGAATTCTCCTCCTTAAATTTGTATAACTTCAATATCATAGCAACTGTGCTGTCTGACTTATCCTTGATACAATCAATAAACAATTACAAGGACAAATGTACTTGTTCAACATGCTAACTTCGCCCTGGAGTGAGAAATTTTCTGAACCTACAACACAAACCCATTTATATTTAAACATTCAAGATAGTTTTCAAAACCATGTGCTCTTAGTTGACATACATGTTGATAACCAATAAAAAGAGCTTATTTTAAACTCCAAGCCTTCAATGGATCTCTTCAAATTAATGCCAATGAGCATTAGACTAGTAGAGGATTTCTTTAGGTGTGTGTTGGTATCTGAGTTGGTGCTTACGCCATTTAATGAATTTGATTTTTACCCCAAAATATCTTAGTTAGAAAGCCAGTTAAGTTATAGTTGTTTTGGACATTCTGTTTGAATTATTTATGTTTTATTTATGTTTTTAAAATGCATAGTTGAAAGGTAAATTAGTTTTTGTGTTGACAAAAACTTAGAAAAAAAATTAGGCTTAGTTAACTATGAATGCAGAAGTCCAAAGCTGCACACATGTGTATATAAGTGTATGGAAACCTGCTAATGTGATATGTCAGTCTTCAGGCATGAAAGAAACCGAACAGTGTACATACCAGACAGTAAAACCATAAAATTAAAATATATATGAAAAGATAAACAGTTGAAATTCTAAAGATAATGAAATTGAAGATATAGTGACAAATGATTCATTCATTCAAAGAAGAGGAAAAAGGTATTGTTCATTTTATTTCAGAATTTTTAAAATTTCATATCACTGTACATTAATGATTTAGCTAAAGATAGGGTAGAGAAAATAATAGATAAAATATAAAGTTTTATCTCAGAAAACTTTTGATATTCATCTAAGAGGTTCTAGAAGTTAAGGAAATGAAATAAAACTGTAAGATGAAATCATATATTTTTATTCTTAGAATAAAAACCACCTTGCGCTCAGGTTGAATCAGTGAAAGCTTTCAAAACTTACAAGAAAATATTTACTGTAAATACTTAATTAAAAATTATAATTTTTTTTTGTATACAACAGATTTGTAAGGTTTACTAAAGCTTGCAAAATTTTGTAAGGATACACTTGATTAATTCAGATTTCTAGCTTTTCAAGCTTTTTTAAAATGACCAGCCCATACTTGGAGAGTTAAATCTTTGAGTTAAGTCAACTTTGGTAATTTTGTTTAATTTAGGATGTATAGATGATTAAGTAACAAAATGTTTTAGTTATAAATAGATTTTATGTAGTCATAGCTCTTGAAGAGAACTGTTTGTCTTGTATTTTATTGACATATTGTTTTTAACTTGAATAGTTTTGTAGATTTACAGTTGTGTATTCTTCATCTATAATAGGAGGATAACAGTATCAAATGGTCGTCTAGATGGGATTATATCCTGGAATCTATGCCACACACAAATATTCAGTGGTTCAGGTAAGTTGATACTATATTAGCATTGATTTTGTAAGTTGAAATGTTACCCAAAGGAATTAACTCTTTTATGCATATATTAAACAGCTTGTTAAATTAAAGATTAAAATACATTGACATTTTATTTGGAATTAGAATGCAAGAGGCATAATTTATATTTATTTCCTAATTTTTATGGTAGTTACAAGATCGGTCAAATCTACCAAACACGTACATGTGAGTAAAGATAATTTTAACTCTATTTAAACAACTTTTTAAGTCAGAGCAGTAATTTTAATTTTGTCATTTTGCTACACTTATTTAGTGTAATTCACAAAGAGAGAGATGAAAATAATTTTACATCTTTCATTTCTGCACAGTTCCAAGGAGTCTCGCTTGTAAATAATGCATTTATTAGTTTTTCTAGAATTTTTATGGTGATCCTAAAACATAAGTTAATATTTACTAAGAAACTATCATTTTTTTATAATATATTTGTCCATATCATATTTCTCATGTGATTTTTTGTTGAAGCTTTAATGTTACATCTCTTTGTTTCCATCCATTTATGGCATCTCGGCATGTGGTCTGTACAATTACTAATGAAGCCCAGCTTTCAAAATAGCTGCTGGTAAAGTTTAAATATCACTTATATCAATGTAGAGTGAATAAAGTGGTATGAGTAATAGTTTACGGTCTTGAGGGAAAGTGGAATTCTTGCAAGGATGAACAGTGGAATCTAATGGGATCTTTACAACACTTAGAAACAAACTGCAGATCTGGAATTTTTTTATAGTTTCTTTAGATGTTCTTTTTGTTACCGAAAATGTTTTTTATTTAAATTATATCGGTTTGAAAGCTACAGAAATCTTCTTGTATGATAAGATATTAGTTAATTTTAGTGAGTACAGTAAGCAATGGCAAAATATTCCAATGTCTTAAATCGTTATTTATTTAATATTTTGTTAAGTTTATTAAAAGAATTCACATAAGTGAAGGAATATATTATGATATGGAAAAGAAACTATATTTGTTCAATTTCAAATGATCTTAGCTAAGAATACTGTTAGCAAAGATATTACCCCAGCCTGAAAAAGATAATGGTGACCTCATCATGAAAGGCTGGGTCGTAGATCACCAGTAAATCTGTTTTTTACAGTTTGTAGCTGGAAGTTGTGACTACTGCAATTGGAAAAACTATCAAAAGAAATTTGTTAATAAATATCGATCAAATTCAAACTGACTAGATATATATATATATAAAATGGAACTATCTGAACAGTAGTAAAAAAATTTAAATTCTAAGACGAATTTATTTTTTCAAAACATCTTTGCAACAAAATGATTTAAATTTTAAAAATTAATGAAAACTAAATCAAATTATATTAATTTTATAAGCCAAAAATAGTTGCTATTTTGTAAATTTTTGTTAAACTAACATGACTGCTGTGATTCTCTTCCCACTATATATATATATATATATATATAT